GTGCTGGCTTTTAAAAAGCCGTCAGCCCCAGTTGAGCTTTTACTTGACCGAGTTCTGTAGGATAAGAACAGAATTAATGAGAGCGCAGACACTTGTCTGAACTTCCTGTGTTTGAATCCCAGCTCCACCACCTACCTGTGTGAGCTAAAGCCTCAACTTTTCTGTCTACAAAATGGGACAAATTATATGATCTATTACACACAAGTGTGTTAGGCATTAAGTTAGTCAACACAGTAAGGCTCTCAGAACATGGCCCATTACAAGCTAGCTTTGTGAGGATTTGATGTTATTGTTATCTTTAATAGAATTTACTTTCTCTAAGAAAAAGTCATGGAAGTCTGTGGAGAGAAACTTCCATCATAGGGTGAACCCAGAACAGTCCACACAGGGACTTAGATCCTCACAAGGGTGCTGGGTGACCACCAACAAGCCAGACGGAGTGTGTCCTGGCTTTTCCTAGACCATGCTTCACTTCCTGTGGGGTCCTGTCTGTGTTTAGACTCTTCTGGGATTGCTATTGTGGACAAGTTCTTTTTCATCTCTGAGGGCAGTTTCACAATTCTCTATGTGCAAATATTGATAAAGCCATGCAAATTTTCATTACTCTTCATCTGGGCTCTTGTAGAAGACTGAAAAGAAAAATAAAATGTTATATATAACACAATATTTGACTTTAGTACATACATATGCATCACTGCCTTTTCCTAATTTGATATTTAGAGCATCCCATAATTGTATATAATGCAGTAAGATAATAAAATAACACTGGAAGCCACAGAGGAGTCCGCTAATGAAGTTTATCTTAAATCAGACGCATGCTGGAGTCTTACCGGTGTTTTGTGGATGTCAGCATACTGGATTCCAAGTTTTCTAGGAGTCAGTTTGAACTTGCATGCATTTAATAATTCATTGGATCAATATACAAAAATTCTTCTTAGAGAGAAGCAGAGTTCTTGAACTTCATAATTCTAGAAATTCATTTGTTCCTCAAGATACAGTGTGACATATTGAAAAATGTCCTCAATAATTTAGTCAAAATCATTATGGCTGTACGAGTGCCACCTGAGGATGGGTACCAAGTACATGAATGAATGGAAGGAATGTATGTGTCCTTAAGAGAGCCTGAAGAAAGCACCTTCTCTAAGCTAAGCAGACGACCTTGACTCAGACCTGGGGGTTGAATTTAGAATCTAGGATGTAGCTGTTGACCCAGGGATAGGATTACAAACCATCTATGAAAACTGAGAATCATAGACTTTAGAGTTCTAGAGTTGCGGTCTCCAAAATCCAAGTAATGAGTTGTGGGATAGCCAATGACAAAAGTAATTTTAACTCCTTATTTCCCACTAATTAATGTCCCATACCTTCACGATCATGCTTGTTTCTTGTCTCAGGGTTATGATGAAACAAGTGGTAAAAGCAACTTAAGGAAGGGATTATTTCATTCCATAGTGTAAAGGTGCAGTTCACCATGGTGAGAATGTGTACAGGGAGGAGCTGTGAGGCAGCTGGTCACAAGAGCATCAAACCAGCTAAATCCCACAGTTGATTATTATTTATTTGTATTCATATAATCCTGAAGCCCCATTTGGCTATGTACTGAAAATAACCAAAATAAATGTCCACACTGTACTAGGTTTGTAGCTTTTCAACGTAGACTGGAAGCAGACAGAGGGGACGCTGGTGCTTGGCTCACTCCCCCTTTGTCTCCTCCAGGGCCCCTTCTTGGAGCTAGCACTGCCCACATTCAGGGTGAGTCTTCCATCCCAGTTAAATCTCGATGGAAAGTCCCTCCCAGGCACATTCAGAGGTGTGTCTCCTAGGTAATTCTAAACCCCATCCCATCACATGATCTGAAAACCATAGATTCGTTATAGTGGTCAAGAGTTACCGTAGGGTTCAGTTCTCCATACATCAGGCTTGACCTGTAAAGAAGGGTAAAAAAGCACTTGCTTTCTGTCTTCACGACCTTATAAATACAAACAAATGAGTAACTAGGAAATGAAGGTTCATTTAAATCATTTTGTACTCGAAATGAACTAATTTGGCTTAATCTTGCCAATTTGATAAATTCTGATTTTAGAATCTTTCCTCATTGTTTAATGACGTGTTGAGTAGAGAAAGAATTTCTGCCACAGATGCTGCTAGAAACTGTTTCAATTGAGCTGATTCTATTGTTTGAATAAGGTTCTGTATTAGTTTTAAAAATGCTGAACCCAGGAGAAATATTATTCTATACCCAAATGCAGGAACAAATGGTACCAGAAGAGGTAAATCATAAAACGCATTGTATGATAAATCTTACCTTCAGAGCCTCCAGCACATTAGCTGATGTACACATCTCCTCTTTCTTATTCTTCACTAAATATGCTAGTAAAGATTTGACCTAACTTTATGTTTAGACAAAGTTTGCTTTGAGTAAAACTATATTTTTTACATTCTATTTATTTTTGGTGGGGGGAGTCATTTTGAGACAGGGTCTCCCTGTAGCCCTAGCTGGCTTGGAACTCCCTAAGTAGACCAGGCTGGCCTCAAACTCACAGAGATCTGCCTGTCTCTGCCTCCCAAGTCCTGGGTGTGTGTCACCACGCCCAGCCAGAGAGAACCTTAGAAACTGTCTGTGCCCATCCCAGTGAGGAGGATTCTGAGATATTGTTAGAGTGTTTGAAATTTCAAAGACTGGGTAACAATGAAAACTGAGACAGAACATCAAATGAGCTAAATCCCACAGGTGGACAATTATTATTTGTATTCATATAATTCTGAAGCCCCATTTTATATACTGAAATTAAACTAAACAAACTCCTATAATGTACTAGTTTTATCGCTTTTCAAAGAAGATATCATTTGTGATATTTCAAATTCTGATTACCACCTACATGATTTCATGGTATCCTGCTATTCAGGTCTGTCCCCTGTTCATTCAAACTGTCTTCAACACTTCGTGCATCCTGTATATCATGTATAGTACAGTATATGTATGCTGGTTTTGTGAGTACGACCGAGAAAAAACTGTGACTCCTACCCTCAGACAGCTCTTCAGCTCTTCCTCCAGTAAGCACCATTCACATTTATTTAATTTAAAAAGTTAGCAAAGTTAGACTTAAGGAAAGTTGGACTCTTCTAAGTGTTTTTCTTCGTTTTTGTAACTGTGAGTCAGCTAATCTGAAGCTTGGGAAACAACAAAATTAGTGAAGGAACAGATTCTCATCCGTGGTGCTGTTTTCTTTAAACTAATTTGACTTGCAGTACAAATTGCAAACCAAAGCATCCCTGTGATTTTTACCACTGTCACGTTGCCTCCCCGATTGTCCAACTGAATCTCCTGTTTTTGCCTTTTGTGACTGTCTTCACTAGTAATTGTCATATTCAACACTGCCCTGTTTTCTTTAAACTAATTTGGCTTGCAGTACAAATTGCAAACCAAAGCATCCCTGTGATTTTTACCCCTGTCACGTTGCCTCCCCGATTGTCCAACTGAATCTCCTGTTTTTGCCTTTTGTGACTGTCTTCACTAGTAATTGTCATATTCAACACTGCCTTGTACTTTTAGATACCAAAAGATATTTGGAGTTGGCACATTACTACATGATGGGAGAGGTTTTTAAAAAGGTCTGTTTCTAGAATTTCTGTTTGCTTAGATTATAGATACTTTCAGTTGGCATTTAAAGAGGAAAGTCTGAAACTTTGTTGAAATCTTGGAAATATTGAAAAAAAGCAGTGCCCCTGGGCTCTCGGATCTTGCTACATGGACTGCAGATTGGTCAGCCTCAGCCTCTGCTGCCCCCATATCCACTCAACATAGAAAGTCCACTTGAAGCAATATGGCCTTCTTTCTTTTCCTGAGCGTCCAGTTCAAAGTATGTTCTCATTTCTGTTTTGGGATGAACTATTTTCATACTTTCAGTTGGCATTTAAAGAGGAAAGTCTGAAACTGTTGAAATCTTGGAAATATTGAAAAAAAGCAGTGCCCCTGGGCTCTTGGATCTTGCTACATGGACTGCAGATTGGTCAGCCTCAGCCTCTGCTGCCCCCATATCCACTCAACATAGAAAGTCCACTTGAAGCAATATGGCCTTCTTTCTTTTCCTGAGTGTCCAGTTCAAAGTATGTTCTCATTTCTGTTTTGGGATGAACTATTTTCTCCCTCAAGGATCAAGAGATGGTTGAAATTTATTATTATTTCAATTTCCCATTCAAGGCAAATTGTATTTTGATTTTCTCTCCAGACATTTTTACTGTCCCTATATCTGCTACGACGTGAGTCTCTTAAAGAGTACAAATCATTATGTCATGAATTTAGTTATGTAAAAAGCAATGATGGTGCAAAAATGAAGATTGTAACTGATGTGAATGTTTTTGTCCTGTTTGTTAGTATGCTGGTATGTACATTAAGTAGATAAACAGGGCACTGTCTCAAAAATAAAAAAAAAAAAAAAAAAAAGCCCTATCTCCAGTTTGCTTAGGAAAACTCATATGCAATCAGTTTGAAGGACAAATGTCATTTCTTTCCATATAATCCATCATTTAATTGTCTGAAATATTCCTGTCCCCATTTTCTAGACTTATGAATATTTGTGTCATGGGAAATCTTCCAATGAAAAAAAGTTAAGACTGTAAGGGCAGAAGCACTTTGCAAAAGACAGTGCAGGAGAGCTGAAGAGACGACTGAGCAGTTAAGATGCCACCTGATCTTGCAGAGGAGTTAGATTCACAGCACCAATATCAGGCAGCTCACAACCATCTGTGATTCTAGCTCCCCGGAATCCGGTACCCTCTTCTGGCCTCCTTGAGATCTGCACACACGTGGCTCACATAACTCCCACATATACTTGCCCATAGTTAAAAATAAAAACAAATTTTTGGGCTGGAGGGATGGCTCAGCAGTTAAGAGCACTGGCTGCTCTTGCAGAGGACCAGGGTTTGGTTCCCAGCATCCACATGGTGACTCACAACTGTCTGTAACTCCGATTCTAGGGATCCAGTGCCCTCTTCTGACCTCTGTGGGTACTCCACACATGTGGGTGCACATACATACATGCACACATGTAAAACACATACACACAAATAAATCTTCAAAAAAAAAAAAAAAAAAAGCACCAGAAAGAAATAATCCTATATGGTCTTGAAGGGAAAGTTCCAGAAAACAACAGAGAGAAAATTTGCCAATCTCCTTTTATGAAACAGGGTTTGTTTTAGGCTTGTTGTTGTTGTTTGTTTGTTTGTTTTGCTTCTAGATTAGTAGGTTCCCACTTGCCCCACAGTTTGTTTTTAAAAATATTCTCATTGCTTCTTCCAAAATATCTCTTTTTGTTGAAATTTAGCCACAGATAAGAAAAAAAGAGAATGGTCTTTATCAGGGAGTGTTTTTTGGTTTTTCTGAGCCCATGAATCAAGTGTGATTTCAACTCTAAAGAGAGCACTGGGAACTTGGATTTCTTTTGCAAGTTATTCTAGCAGCTCTTGAGCTAGTCTAGCACTTTCGGAGAACTAACAGCAAATGGCTACTTTTCTCAAAGTACGTGGCTTGGTGTCTTCTTTCTTCTCCGTGGTTTTGTGAGAGTTATCTTTGTGTGTTTGGTAGAAGAAAGGTTCTTTCTGATGTCCTGGCCTCTTTGGTTGGTGAAAATGATAGGGCGGTTCCCTGAGGTGATAATTTCTTCATGTTATGTTCCCCAAAAAACTCTCACAAAATGAGTTGGTTAAGCACTATAAGAGAAGGGTCCATTGTTGGTGCTGGTCGTAGGAGAAAAGTCAAAGATTGTTGGGTCTAAAAGGAAGAATCAAATGTTGATCATCAATTTGAAACAACCACTGAAGAGCGGATGGCAGGGTCTTCTTTCTGTCCTCCCGAAACCGTGTTGTAACAACAGTATGGTTTTATGTGTCTGTGTGGTTCTGTTTCTGTTTCGTTTTTGACTTCCCAGTAAGAGGTTTAAACATGAAGGCGACCCTTCCAGACGTTAGCATGGCTGAAGGTGAAGCAAGCTGCCTCCTTTTTATTTTATTTTATTTTTCTCTGCTTCCATTTAGGCCTATCACATAATTTAAGGAAAAAAAATTAATCACAGGAACTCTTAACTATAGTGTGGAAAAAACAAAAAACCTGATCAATTTTGTTTTCGCAGCACGATATTGTCAAAGATTTAAGAAACAAATTTGCCAGCCTCGGGGAGAACCCTCTGGTAACAGCATAAATGTCTGTGTTGGCTGCTTTTGATTTGAAGGTTTCTTTTTGATTTTTTCTTTTTGTTTGTTTGAGCCCATTCCTCCCCCGCCCCCTCCTTTGAGTTCACCTTCTTTTTCATATTCTGTAACTAGCAAGCCTTCATTTTTTAAACCTCTTCCATCTTTCAATGTCTATTTTCTGTACTTTGGATGGAAAGTTTATGGCAGCAAATTTGTCATCTGGGCTACTGCTGCAGCTCCTGTTGCTCTAGGTCATATATGTTTTGGCCGTTGTGTTTACGGACATGATACTAATTGAGCGTTTCATGTCCCGTTGACTAAGCTTCTCTACCACGCCATTTGATGGACACACTGTCCCAGGGCTCTATGCAACCTCCATTTTGCAACTTATACTGCTTAGTTCCGTCTCAATTCTCCAGTGAACTGGATTGCTCAAGTGAATGATCATACCAGCCTTGAACTCGCTGTGCCTTTATATTTTCCTTCTGATTTCCTTCTTCATGTTGGTCACGGTAGATTACATGGAAAAGAACAAACAGTAGCCATTGCTCAAGCAGCGCCTTCTGTTACCTCCAGAGAATACAAAATATAAAGGCACACTGCTTCTCTTATCCTTTGGGTGGGGGTGACTGGGGTGATCTGTATCATAAGTCCACGACTCAGTTGAAGCCTACCTTTTTTAAACATATCAGCTTTCAATTTTGCTTAAACTCCAAGATGTCTCAGTTAATGTTTTTGTTTTGTTTTGTTTTTTTTCTGTGATTCAGTGATAACTTGCAACTCGAGCGATTTGCTGAGCAGTATCAAGTTATGGCCATGAACTAGGAGATTACCAAAAATACATGACCAACTTTATGCACAAATGTTTCAATCGGAATGTGCAAGTTTCAATGCTGAAGTGCAAAACTGTGATACAGGCTTTGGATAAATCAGCCAATTAAAATTGAGAAAAAAAATATATCCTGATAAACCCGTCCTAAAAGTATATCAGAAAAAATATCAACGGAAAATAAAAAAAAAACAAACCAAACCATGAGATGAATATGCAACTATCTGTTTGATAACATTGTTGGTATTGAAATGGTCCATAATGGTGTCATAGAGCCCATACATGAAGACCTATGGTCTGTAGAAAGCTGCCAAGATGTCTGATAGCCCCTACATAAATGGTTGGGATTTGTGTTCAGGAAAAAGAAATGGAAAAACAGAAGCTCTGTACCAGCAAGCCAGGCTGCATGACCGTGGGGCTGCCGAGATGGTGCTTCAGACTGTCAGCGCCAGCAAAGGTGAGGTTCTTGTCTGTCCCCCAAGGGGTATTATTCAGCACCCGCAAGGGTGGGGGACAGTATGGAGGCTCCATGCAGTGTTAGGACAGGTGAGATTCCTGTCTGTCCCCCAGCATTCAGCACCAGCAGAGGTTCCTTCTTATGCCCCCAGCGGGTGCCATGTAGTGCCAGTGAAGGTGAGGGATACCATTCTGTGGATACTGTCTTTACCATGCTAAATGCTCCCTTGTTTCAATCCCACTGAGCTTTTAGCCTCTGAGTTTCTGTCACAGATACCAGCTTTCATAATTAGGCAATCCAGAGTTGTTCTTGTGCAGAGCCTCCGTGAAAAGACCATTACTGAAGCTGTCATGAGTCAGCACCAGTGGACTGGTGCAGAGATCAGTGGTTTTGCAGGCTTTGTCTGTGAGGACAGTTTGATCATTACTTTTTTTGTCACTGGGACTAAAATCCCTAGCAGAGCAACTTAAGCCAGGAAAGACTGACATGACCTAGGAGTTTTAAGTTTGCAATCCATAGTTGTTGGAGACTGAAGTCCACGGTCAGTAGTTGTGCTGATTCTGGCCCCTCATGAGGCAGAACGTCAGGGCAGAAAGGAAGCAGCGTGAACAAAACCAGAAGAGGGCAGGGCAAGACCCAACCCCCAGGGATGTGTCTCCAGGGACCCACATCCTCAAGCCAGGCCCTGTCGTCCTCAGACCCACCACTGTCCAGTAGTCTATTCAGATTTTGAACCCATGGATGGAGTAGAAAGAGGCTCCCTCCTGCCCCAGCACTTCACAGAAGCCGGTCGGCTGGCATCCAGGCCCCAACACACACCCATTTCACATTCACAAGATGATGCCCAGGGAGAACTGGTCTCTGCTTTTGGCTCCTATGGATCCTTAAAGCCCTTCACTCCTGCCCCAAGAACACCAGTGCAGCCAGAGGGAAGGAGTAACAAATGCTGTGGGCTGTGCGGCAATAAAACTTTATTTACACAAACAAGAAGCAAACTGTACTTGATCCTCAGGCCATGGTTTGCTGAATTTTGATTTAAAAGTTTAGACATTTTAGGGGCTGGGAAGATGGCTCAGCAGTCAAGAGCACTTACTGCGAGTTCGATTCCCAGCACCCACATGGCGACTAACAAC